TTTTTCACGATTTTTATCTCTCTCTCTTGCTATCGCTTATTTTTATTTCATTTTTCTCCCTTTTTTTTGTTGGACGCTTTTTCATTTGGGCTCGGATCCAAAAATACATTGACCCGAGTTTCGTCAAGTTGCCATCGGGTATTTATTATTATACCCGGATGGTAGTTGGTTGCGAGTGGAGCTAACAATAGTCGATGGGACGAAACAGTAAATGGGAATCGGGTTTGGTGAACTATTATGTAATTAGTCGAAAATCAGAGTAATTCCAATAATCACGATAAACCGAGAAAGAAATTCTAGATCCCTCAATTAAATCGGTGAATCAATCGATCACTTCGTCTCGAATAGAATTTTTCAATTCGATTCTCCATCCCAATCCATTTATTTAAAGTTCAATTCAATTATTTAATTTGTAATAAAAAATATATGATATCTGGGTTTTAACAATAATAATCAAGATATATAAATAATTGTGGAGAGATCCTTTGGGAAGGAATTGAATTCTGACGTGAAATTAGGCCTGCGGACCGAACCTTGGGGCAAGCCTGTCTGGCAACCCCATCGCAACCTAAAATAATCAATCTCATTTCAGGACTACTGTATTTTTATCATTTCATGGACTTCATGGACTCTGGCGACATGACCTGTGGGAATTAAATTTTATGGATCATCCAGGGACAGGCTTGTCGCAACGTACGATTTTCCAGTCTGGCAAGACCAACCTAGCCACAATGTAGCCACAGTCTCACGGCATTTCCACCGCGTCATATCTTCTGGATAATTACCCAAATAATTTGGCTTCAACATTCGCGCAATATTGACTCTATCCGAGAGTAAACAATTCCAAATGGGAAAATTTATCGGTTTATTTACCGGAAGTCCGATGATTTCTTCTTTTAATTTTTCTTTTAATGATCATATCATCGTATAATCTTTCAATATTCCAAAATAAATTTGTACCGAGTGTTAAATGTACGTGTTCCAATATGGATTGGCTCTCGGCCTGGATATAGGGGTTCTCGAAATGCTATTCTGTTCTCGAAATAGTTACGGAGCCAGATACGGTGACGCCGACGCCTCACGCCTTCTTTTTATATCTATAGACCGTGTTTAGAATATCTCCGAGGTACCTCTCCCGTCCCAATTTCCAATTTTGTTGTTATTTTTTTAAACAATTCCCAAAAAACCCCGGGGACATCCCCCCAGGCAATCAGCGATCGTCCAATTAACGTTTCCCAATTCTCCCACTCCAAAATTCAATCCCAAATTTTCCATTAATTTAAAAAATCATTATGAACTTCATTGTAATTATTATATAATTATGAATAATCAGATTTTATCAATTTGAAAAATAAATCCCTCTTTTTTATTTTGATACGTGGAATTACCGATTTTTTTACCGATTTTTGGATTTCAATAATTCAATTCTATTTTCCATTTTGTAAAATCGATATCTTCCAATTACCGAGAGTAATTTCCCGTAAAAAATCGGCGGGAATATTATCTGAGATGATTTGATTAGAATTGATGAAAAATTTTCAAAATGTTTATCTCCCCAGGAAAATCGACAACCCCTTCAATTTTCGATTGTAACCCACCCCTAATTACGTATGTATACTAATTACCGGGTGATTAATCCACCGGTCACTCCATTAATATTTTGTAATAATTATAAATATTGATGGGTAAATGATAATTTTTTGTGATGATAAATATTAATGAGTAAATGATAATTTTTTGTGATGATACATACCTCTCCAGCAGGTAGGATAACCGAGACAATATCTCCTTTGGTCGCTTTAATTTCACCGAGGAGATATCCTTCCTTCTCATCAGGTACCCAGCAAGCTTTTTTCGCATCGTAGGGTTTCGACTGATCAATTCTCTTCTGCTCCAAAGTAACAAAAAGATATGGCGTTGGATCGGGATCATCTCCCTCCTGTACAACTGGTTTCGGCATTTTCGATTCTCTTCAATAAACTTTGAGATTTTTT